GGGGATGTGAGCCTGGAGCCCTTGACCTTGGGATCATCTCTCTATTCTGTGTTCACTCTGACCACCTGGTGCTGGGTGCTGGGACTCAGAACTCCTGCAGCTGTCACTGCAGGCGGGGGTGCGGGGGGCATCTACAGGTGCTGTCACTCCTTCACCCCTCCCTGGCTGTTAATCCGATGGTTCCGGCCATGCCTGGTGAAGGTCTGGCAGTCTGGGCCTGGGTGGGGGTGGGGGTTCAGGGCTGGTGGACGGGCAGAGTCAGAGGCCCCAAGGATCCCTGGGAGGCTGGATGGGGACAGGAGCAAGGGGTAGGGCTGAGGGACTGGACCACGGGGATTTCTCCATGTGTGGAGTGTGTTCACACATGTGGGCATGATGCGTGTGCACAGGTGGGTGTGTTGTGAGTCCACACCTGAGGGGCAGTGGGCAGAGGGGCTGGAGAACGATGGCCCTGGGTCACCTTGACAGGACCTCTTTCAAGGTGGAGACTAATCCTCATTCATTGGTGACCCCAGAGTCCCCAGGGTCTGATTTATCCCAGCCCTGAGCACTGGAGACTCCAGGGAATGTATGCAGGCGTCAGAGGCAGGCCTATCCCCTCTTGCCATGGCATCTTCTGAACAGAAGGGTTCTCTTTTGGCTCAAGGCCCTACGTGGAGGCTAGGGGATGGATTTGAGGGACCCTTTATGGATAAGCCTGTGAGTCAAAGGGAAAGAAGGGATGATCAGGTAGCTAGGAGGAGAGGAAAGAGGGTCAGTTCAGCTCAGCCTGTTCCTCTGTTTTGCTCCTGCCTTAGGACAGAGCCCCTTGACCTTTACAGACAGAATTAGTCCTGGCAGAAAATCAATGAGCTCCATTTACTGACAAGGAAACCAGAGAGGTTAAGATACTCCACCAAGCCGCACAGCCAGTGAGGGTTGGAATTGGGCTTCCAATCCAGCCAGCTGACTACGTCTACCCCATTCCCCTCTGCATGGCCTTTGGTGCCTCAAAGTCTCCCCGCCTCTATGGACCTCCCTTTCACAGATGGGGCGTCTCTCTCCCTTTCTTCTCTCTTGCATTCCCCATGAGTTCCCTTCTGGGTGTCCATATTTGTGGTCCCTGTCCCTCTCCATCTCTAAATCTCTTTCAGAAATGCACTTTCAAGTTCTCCCTTTGCTTCCTCTTCCCCGCACACCTTACCCTCCACCGGTCCCCCCTTTCAAGCCTCCAAGGCTGGAGGGCAGAAATCCTGGGTCCTGGCGCCCTGTGCTCTGAGTATCCACCCACTGTCTGTCCCTCCCCCAACCCCCCCTACCCACCTCTCAGCCCTAGCTGAGTATGAGCCCACCCAGGAGGCTTCCAGGTCTCCAGAGGGGCCCTCAGCCCTCAAGCCGCCTCGTGGATTGGCGGAGGATCATCTGGTCCTCGGCGTTGAAAAGGAAGTCCAGCACCTGTGGCTGCCCTTTTCAACTGTCACCATCCTCCTCACACCTTGCAGCACCACCCTGCAGTGACCCGCAGGCAAGACCTGGAGGTAGGAGAATCCCGTGGGAGGGGGCCTGCAAGCCTCTGGTGCCCAGCTTCACCCGGACCCTAAAATGCAGATTCTGGCTCCTCCGCTGCAGGCCTGGGAATCAGAATCTCCAGAGGCAAGTCCCAGAAATCCACATCCCGCTAGCTTCCCCGCACAATGTGGAGCAGGGGCAGAGCAGTTCCGGGTGACCTCAGGGCAGCACCTATAATTTTTGAATCTTGATGGGAAGCAACTTGTTCAAAAGGAAGTTTAGAATACTTCAGAGGACAGCCGGGCAAGTGAGCCAGGGCCGAAGTGGGGGTGCAAGGGCAATCTTCTGTTTTCTATTATTATTATGACCATTATTATCATTATTATTATTAGGGATTGAACCCAGAGGCTTTGTACCAATGAGTCATATCCCCAGCCCTTTTATTTCTTATTTAGAGACAGGGCCTCCCTAAGTTGCTGATGCTGGTTTTGAACTTGCAATCCTCCTGCCTCAGCCTCCCACACTGCTGGGACTACAGGTGTGCACTACTGTGCCTGGCCTTTCACTCATTTTTATGACTCTCCCGAACTCTTGGGGAAAGAACACTGGGCCAGGAGTCAAGAGACCAGCGTACAAGGCTAACTTGGGGTGTGTGACTTTGGTAAGTCATTCTATTCCCCATATTTGCAATCCAGCCTGTCTCCTAGAGTCTGATGCTGGTTGCAGTCTCTCTCCCCCCTCCCAGGTTCCACCCTGGGTTTCTTGTTCCCACCCCACTGGGGCCAGCCTTTGGATGCTCAGCGAGCAGATGGGGTTCTAGAAGAGAAACGAGGAGGTCCCAGGGGGCCTTGTCTCCTAGCTCCTTTTTTCCCACCTTTCCAGCCCTGGGGCCTGGGAAGGGGGTGAGGTGGCAGCAGGAAGAGGAGGTGTCACTGCCAGGGTTCTTCTCACCTAAGCTGGCAGAGGGGCGGGACTGGCAGTGGTGACACCAGGGCCACTCAGCCCCCGCTTTTCACAAGCACTTTCTTTTTTGGGTGGAAGAAATTGGAGGAAGATGGGCGAGGAATCTGGGGTTAATGAGACAGGCTGTAAGACCCTCTTACAGCCCATTAGGTTATAGGGAGACCACTCCAGCTCCCCTTATCCTCCAGAGACATGTTCCCAGGGCCACCTGATTCTGAGATTCGTAACTCCTCCTGCTCTGGAAAGCTGGGTGGGAAGTCAGGTCATCCTGTTCAGAAGCAGGGGGATGGACCACTTGACCTGAAGATTAGCGTGAAAAAGAGGAGAGGGAGAGAGGAGGAGCAACAAGACTCCATTTGGCCTTCTACAGTCAACCACGTAGTAAAAATGTCCCTCCCCAAAGAAGTGGCAGGATTCAACAGTCTCATGTCTCCTGGGGAAATCATTCAGGTGAGTCTTACGGAAATCTAATGTTTTACAAAAAGTGGCCAAGGGCAAGGTCACCCTCTTTCAAGCTATGCTACCTCACTTCGAACAGCAGGCAGAAGCTTCTGCCTTCCTCAAGGCTTGGAGACATGTGGGTAAAGGGCAGGGGAGGAGACCAGAGCTGGGTTTCTGGTGCTGTTATGTATCTGGTCTCCATCCTCAAGGGATGTGTTGATTGTCTCTCCCCCACCCTCCCTGGGTCATGCCCGCCTCCTGGGGTCCCCAGTTTCACCTTCGCCTGCCAGCCTGCCTCTTGGTTCAGCTCTAGTTGGGAGCAGAGAGCTCCCGTGGGCCCCTCAGGGTGAAGTCCTATTGGGCTGGGACAAAAATATAGAAATGGGGCTGGCCCCTAGGGGAGAATTAGGGCTGGCAGGAATGGGGGGAGAGAGGAGAAGTTAACCTTTAACATGATGAAACTGTTTTAGTTTTCAAAACACTCTTTAAAATGTAAATCTCTACATGTTGATTTGCAAAAAAAAAAAAAAAAAATTCCATGACACCTTGTTGAGTGAAAAAAAAACACTACAAAACATCATGTACATGTTTATAGAAATTATGTATTTGTGTGTGTGTGCAGAAGATAGAGACAGAGAGACAGTGTGTAGGAGTGACACCTGGAGGGATGCCCACCAAAATGTTAATTCTGTTTGCCTTTGGGGGCTAATGTTTGGGAAAGATTTGCTACATAAAGCTTTTGCTTTTCTGTACAGCTTATATCCTTATACACAGGACAACCCACAATAGTGCTATTTTTCATTGAAAGAAAGTAAGGATGCTTTTTACTAAAAAGTGTGCCTATAGTAGCAGAAAAGAAAAATCAAAAAAGACCTGCCTCTGTAGCCATCAGCTGAGGCCGCCACCAGAGCATGTGCTGGGCTTCCTTCCTGTCTGCCAACTCTGAACTCTTCCAAGCAGCTTTCCATCCAGACTGGAAAGTGCTACACACTGATACTGGCTGGTGTCACGGCACCCCACTTGCAAAAGCAGATGTGTTTATTTATTATTTCCCCAGTCCATGTTGAGACCTGTGAGGATGATTTTCAGGCAAGGGAAGTGACTTGTCCAGGTCATGTGTACACAGAGTCACAAGCAGGGACTCTGAGCCCTGGTAGCCTAATACTGCTTCCAGTGCCCACGTTTTAGAGTTTTTTTTTTTTTTTTTTGGGGGGGGGGCAGATTTGACCAGCCTAGCCCTGCTCAGCAGAGTCCAGGGCTGTACCAACCTGGTATGGGCCGCTGAGAAGACAATCCCCTTTAAAGACCCTGCTGCCCACCAAGTTCCAGGTCTGCTCCTGAACAAGATGCCCAGACAGAGCCCACTCTGGCCTCTGATTGGAAAAGGAGGGAAATGGCTTCATGCAAAGTCACTTAGCACAGAGCCTGGGCACAGTAGCTATCTCTTGAATATTTATGTTGAGGCAGCTTGGAGCCTGCCAACGGGGTGAGGGTGTCCAGCTAGTCCCATCTTGGCCATCCTCACAGGCTCTTGTAGGAGAGGTCTCTTGAGCTGAGCTTTCAAGAATGAGTGAAATGTCCCCGAAGTTTGAGGGGAGAGAAATGGACAGTGTTTCAGGTGGCGGGATTGATTCTGCCAGAGGGCAAGGTCTACAAGCAGAGTTTCAGGTCTCGGGGTTCGCTCATCTGCATGGTGTAGGGGGCCCTCCAGTCCTGGCCAACAGCGGAGGATTCGCCAGAGTATTAGCCACGAGGGGGCGGGATGAGGCGGGGCGGGGCCAAGATGGTGGGGTGGGGGACCCAAGAGCTTCATAAAGCCACAGCAAAGGCCGCGCGACGCTAGTGACAGCGGCCCGCTGGAGA